ACAAGTGCTTAACCACTGCACCAGAAGGCCTCCTTAAATTCCCATTAACCCCAAATAAACACACTATTTGGCTAAAAATAATTTGTTTTCTATGAAAATGCAACTTTAAGATGGATCTCTAGACCCATTTTCACCCACAGCCCATAAGTTCACTTACTCCCATATAGAAACCCTAGACCCTCCACAACTCATGGGGGTACTATTTGCTTCCCTCTGCTTTGCTGGTCATCTTTACCCAAGCCTTTTATAACAAAAGTTGCTGGACGATCACCTAGTTTGCTTGTTCATTCATGCATTAATTCATCACTAGTCCCAGGCACATGCTGACGGGTATCTAACCAAAAAATCCACTGCCATCAAGTTGATGCTGACTCATAGTGACCCCTGTTGGGTTTCCAAGGCTGTAAATCTTTACAGAAGTAGATTGCTTCATCTTCCTCTCACAGAGGAGCTGGTAGGTTTGAACCACCAATCTTCTGTTTAGCAGCCAAATGCCTTACCCATTATGCCACCTATCTAACATGCATTTAATGGCAACAAAAGGTACTAGAGGGGATCCATGAGCCAGCATGTATGGATGAAAAGTTAGCCAGCAGTGCAGGGATTAACTGGCACCATGTTGGCAATAATAGCTCTTTTAAGAGGTGGTTGTGATGTGTCAAATGCACCTTTGACAAATGTCAAGAAGAGAGTCCATAGGCAGGATGGTTGGTGTGGGTGGAGGCATGAGGTAAGGTTTTGTGGAAGGCTGGATTTGCCTTGGGGCTTAATGATGATTAGGAGATAAACAACTGCAGAACTGGGGAGAGTGCATACCAGGCAGACAGGGCTGGGATTGGGGTTAGGCCAGTGGAACCAGAAGCAAGGTCTGAGACTCTCATAATAAATGGCTCTGGTCAGCATGTGTGACTAATACTCCTTGGGCAAATGATGAGTGTGATGCTGGATGTCAGTGCTGCCCACAAACAAACAAAATGCCTGGGAATATGAATATGGTATACAGTATACAAACCAATGTGGGAGAAAAGTCCCACGTTGTGGTAATTTCCAAGACACAGTCAGGAAGGTGAGTTCACGAGTGATAAGATGTGAGGGACCATCTCCAGCCTCTATCCCGAGGCCCAGGGTGGCACTCCCAGGTCACAGCAGGATGGAGGTGAAGATCCAGGGTCTAACCCCTTGGAAGGTGTGTTCAAGCTTACCTGTGCTGGGCCAGCTGCAGGCTCCTTCAAGTCTTTGGACCTGTCCTGTCGTGATTTGGCCTACGTTTCACAGGGGATGTGGGTGCTAGAATAAGCTAGCCAGGGCACATGTGCCCTACAGTAGTCCCCTGGGCCAGTCTTTCTCATAGCCTGCTTTTCCTGATAGCCTCCTAATCACCTGTGGTAGCCCAGAGGTGAGTGGAGGCTACTTCCAACAGTAGACTAATGCAGAGGCTTATGTGTGCTCTGTCCCACCAGAAGTCATTCAGTTCCGGGAACAGTTTTCCAGTCTAGTATGTTGTTAGCTACTGTTGAGTCAGCGTTGACTCATGGCAACCCCAAGTACAACAGAACAAAATGCTGCCTGGTCCTGCACCACCCCCATGATTGGTAACTATCGTGATCCATGGGGTTTTTATCACCTCTTTTCCTGATATGGAAGAAGCATCTCTGCTGGTATTCTCATTTCCCCTCTACTGCTTGGGTACCACCTACCACACTTTCTTTCTCTACACTCTCCCCACCTCAGGTCTCCAAGACTTGGCCTGCTGGGACTCACACCTTTCTGGCTGAATCCCGTTGCAGTTCCTTAGAAAGAACTTTTCTGGATGGAAAGTCTTATGTCCATACCCAGATGGGGGCAAGCTTGGAAAGAGTTGCAGCAGAGTTTTCTGTCCAGACAAAGTTGGTTGGGAAGAGAAAACTGTTTGTAATGCATTTTAATGTGTCTGTATATGTGTGTGTGTACATCTATCTATAAAATGCCTCAGCATGAATGTATTGATGTATGTTTACTTATTGGCTTACACCACCCATCAGTCAGTGTGCTGTTCTGTGGTGGCTTGCATGTTGCTATGAAGTTAGAGGCTATGCCCCAAGTATTTCAAACAAGAGCAGGGTCACCCATGGTAGGCAGGTTTCAGTGGAGCTTCCAGACTAAGACAGACTAGGGAAAAAGGCCTATCAATCAACTTCTAAAAATTAGCCAATGAAAAACATATAGATCACAACAGAACACTGTCTGACTTGCTTGTTGGACATGTCATCAGAAGGGATCAATCAATAAAGGAGGACATCATGTTTTGTGAAGTAGAGGGCCAAGGAGGGGGAGGGAGGCCTTCTGTGAGATACACTGGCACAATAGCTGCAACAATGAACTTGAACATGCTGGCAATTTTAGGATATGCAGGACCAAGCAACATTTTGTTCTATTGTACATAAGGTCACCATGAGTCAGAGTTGATGCAAAAGTAGCTAACAAAATTTATTGGCTTAATAGATTCATTCTACTATCCTATCTGCTTTTGTCTATGCCAGCATGTCTTGGGTTGTAAAGTTCTAGTGGTTGGCAATCAGTTTTGGGAAGGGGAGCTGAGCAGCACTCAGAGGGGTGAGCTTCCTGTCACAAGTGGTGGCAGGTCAACCCCTTAGTAGGATTGTTCGGGGGTTGCAACATTATTTGGGAAGTGCAACTAGATGACTACTAATGTCACTTAGTTCCAATGAATCTATGATTCTAGACTTCTTTGCATAGTGTCAGACATGTTAATGAGCTTTTGAAGGTGTGATGATTGTGGGGCAAGGTGGCATTAGTGCTTATTATGATGTACTTTGGTCAGATAGGCCTGGGTTTGAAGTCCTCCTGAATAAGTTAATAATCGTGCACTCTTGGGCACATAACCCAAACTTTCTGTGCTTCAGTTTCCTCATCTATAAAGTGTGGATAACAATAGTACCTATCAAGGGTTGTAGTGAGAATCACTGAAATAACATACACGAAATTTTTAGTGTGTGATGCGTAGTCAGTGCTCCAGGTTGGTGGTGGTCATTAAAGTTATCATTGTTTTTGTTCAAGGACCTGGCTTGAAACACTTGGGTCCTCAGAGGATCTCTTTGGCTTTATGAGATCAGTCTCAGCAGTCTCCTTAGCTCCCAGCCTTGAGCCTGACGTCAGATTCCCCTCATGGAGGAAGAGGTCACACCCTGCAGGTCCATGCCAGATCAGTTCAGCTGGACATCAGGGGACCCTGGGAAGACCCCACTCCAACTCTATGGATTCCACCTCAGTCAGGATCCAATCAGCTGGACACTAGGAAGTACAGACCATCCAGTCCCAAATTCTGAGGCCTTCCTTGCTTCCTACTGGGCTAGTGACACTCTCTTTTGCCCCTAAACTAACTGGAGTCAGAGATATGTGGATGGAGTGCTAACCCAGGGGGATGAGGACTGACTGGCAGTGGCTCAGGTGCCTCCTTGTTGTTCAAATGAAACTTCCGCAAATGAAGCAGCTATTTCTGCTGTGACTCCTTCCAGGAGAGAGGGCCAGTCGCTCCTCAGTTGTGCTTCTACGCTGAGTTCCTTGCAAGGATGGCTGGCCCCAGACTTGTCATGTCTACCCCTGAAACTCTACATTTGATCTCATCTCCATTACAACCCAGAAAACCTTATGGGGGCAGTTCTACTCTGTCCCTTGGGGTTGCTATGGGCTGAAATAAACTCAACAGCACCCAACAAAAACCACCACCCAGCAAGGAGTTGGGGATTTTCCTTCACCCACCAGCAACAACTCAACCTGGGCCTGGATGGAAAAATGCAAACCCAAAGTCAGAGGACTTGGAAGGGATTGTCAGGCCCAACTCCATTATTTCACAGATGAGAAAACTGAGACCAGAGAGAGGAGGAAACTTCTACTTTTAAAGTACAGTGGATGTGGAAGACACACTCCCCATCTCACCTGGGGCAGGAGGAGGGGGGAATCATTTATAGAGAGGTCTATATTTTTATATCTATGTTCCCTTCTTATATGATATTTTCCTTTTATGAGAAGGCTGAGAGTCCCCATGCAAGGCTCTCTCCAGAAAGGACATTTTACTTAACAGGTTTCACCTCTATTATGAGGGGAAAAATCGTTAGTCACAAGGAATTACATTTCTATTCTTAGACATGGGATAAAAGGGATGTGAGAAGCCTCATCTCTCACTTGAGAGAAAGAGGTATAGGGACAGGATGAATGGAGCAGGGCCCTGGTTGGGAAGGCTGGGTCCTTTGACTGCTTTTGCCCTTGCCCTACCTCATAAACCTAGAACCTATGCAAACCTGAAACAAGCAAAACCTGAGATGCTGACTCAGTAAGAGTTAGAGGATCATTTGCATTACTACACTAGCAAGGTGATTTAGATATGGTGGCTTAATGGCAAGAAGAGCAACCCTTGTTTCTGACATATCTTTTACATCTCTCCTTCCAATGACCCCAACCTTTGCTTGGGCACTATTTGTCAGACTTTTGAAGATCATCTTTTTATGTGCTGGTAATCTATGCTAAATAGGAGGGATTCAAAGATGAAGCCAATCTGTAGCCTCTTGCAAGATCAGGCTTGTGGCTTGCAGGTATGTGAGTGTTTGGAGAGGATCACTCCAAAGAGAAGCCCATGGGTGTCCCTAATTTGGATAGAGAACACAACCATCTAAGCCCATCTTTCTATGCCTGCTTGGATGACCTATTTTCTAGCTACAAACACCTAGAATTACCTGTTCTAAACATCTGGCATTACCTGCCTTAGTCACCTTCCTTCAGGCTTTAATCAGCTGTAGGCCCCACCTCCTCCTGCCTCCTATCCATGTGGGATCCCTCCCTACCCTTTTACTTCCTGAAAGGATCCAGAGGTACCAGATCCACAAGTCCTGATGTCTTTAAAAGGATCAGCCTGGGAAATAAGGCTCATTTGAGAGCTGTGACATTCACCTTGACTCCAGTGCAAGTCTAACAGCCAGTCCCCCTTTGGCCTCCAACTGAGCACCATGAGGGCCTGTGTCCCCCTGATAGTGGCCATGCTCTGTGGCTTGGCCTGGGCTGGTAAGTCACTGTCTGATGGGGATGGGAGAAGGGATGGTAGGAGCTCTTGCATAAAGAATCAGAGAGTTGAGGAACTTGGAGGGTGAGGGCAATGGGGCAAAGTCAGGGATCAGCTCTGTCCTAAAGCTGTGGAGCACCTTGGTCCCCTCCTTGTCTGAGGGTGCAAGAGTTGTCTCTGGAGTAGATTGTACTATGTGAAGGGAGTTCCGGGCTGATGGACTAATTTCATGAAAGTCCCTTCTTAACACCTTGGAGGATCACTCCAATCATCCCTTAGTCCAAACTGACTTTTGCTCTAACCAAGGTTTTATTGTTATTCCCTTCCCCTGGGCCACTGCATGGTATGGAGCTGGGACTATGGTCGTTTGGGTTTGAATGGCTCACTTGTCCTTGGTCATTCCCTGTTCTGCCTGGTGATGGGTGAAGTTGTCTGAGGTGCTGATCTTTCTCTGGGTAATGCTTTAGGAGATGGGCAGGCTCAGGAGGAAATCAGAAGGGTCGCTGGCCAGGGAGTGGGCAACATCCTATGGTTGTACAGGTAATCAGAAGAAATGGTCTTTGTCTCAGTGTTAGTTCAACTAAAGAATAGAGGAGGAACTTGGCCCACAGTTACTAGCAGTGCAGGGGATGGGACTAGCAGAAGAAGATTCACTTTCCTGTGTGGTTATTGTGCAAAATGTTGATGCTGATATGTTAATTGGTGGTTATCAAGTAGGTGAGAATGAATGCCAAGGGTAAGGGCTGAGCTGAGGGGTGTGGGAAGAATCCTCTTCTATCCCAGAGGAGAACAAATCAGAACCTGATGCTCATTCTACCCACTCAAGTTGTCACTCTAAGGAATGTTGTGAGGATTAAATAAGATAATGCATGATAAGCACTTGGCATGGAGTAACAACAAACTGGAACTTTGATTAGAATTGGGATTATAAATATTCCTGGGAGAAACTTGAGGCCATTTCCAATTAGATTGTGGATAAGAAGACCCAGGATACAAACGATTTGGTCCCAGTTACTAATGGAAAGGTTGATAGTTCAAACCCATCCAAACCAAAAAACCAAACTCACAGCTGTCGAGTCGATTTCAACTTATAGCGACCCCTCCTTGGGTTTCCGAGGCGGTATCAGTATGGAAGTAGATTGCCCAATCTTCCTTCTGAAGAGTAGCTGGTGGGTTTGAACTGCCAGTCTTCTGGTTAGCAGTCAAATGCCTTAGTCACTACACCAAACCCATCCAAGGTACCACAAAAGTCCTGGAAATCTGCTACCATAAAGATTACAGCTAAGAAAACCCTACAAGCTCAATTCTACTCTGTAACACGTGGGCTTGCCATGAGTTTAAACCAACTCGGTGGGAACAGGTTCGGTTTTCTTTCCTTTTTCTTGGTTAATGGGATTCTGATAGGGAAAGCCCTTGGAGGGGAAAGCTATTCCCAGGTTTCCCACCACTGGATGGGATGGTGTTTCTCCACCTTAGCACCCAGCACTAACAGCCAGCTCTGCCTGGGCCCTGGGTGGTGGGGAGGTGTCAGAGAGAGAAGGAGGGGGTAGGACACTCTGGCCTCAGACCTGTTGGTGGAGGAAAGGGATAGCACCTCAGGGCCAGGTGTGGAAGAGAGGCTGGCGAGTCAGCATATCCCAGTCCAGAAGAGGAGTGCAACTCGGGGCATCTGAGCCCTGGGTGGGGGTGGGGGTCATCTCTGAGGACAGAGGCAGCAGTGGCATCATAAATGCAGCTGGAGTCCTTGCTACCAGGGGCTGAACCACCTGACTGAGCTGTGGGACTGCTGGGGAAGTGATGTTTGAGGCGGTGATACTTCCTTCTTTTCTGAGGTGGGAGAGAGGAGGTTCTTCCCTTGCCTATACTATTGCAACATTTCAGAACTTTGATGCAAACATCTGAATCATACTGGGGAGTCACTGACAGCCTCAGCTCCTCATTTATGAATTGGGGGCTAAAGACCTTGCTGTTTTAAACAGAGGAAGCTGGTCCTGGAGATGAATCTTTTTGGTTGACTAAATTTCCTTGGAAATGGCATCTGGGATCCTGGATGGTACAGACATAGGATGCCCAAGCCATCAGAGAGCCTGATGGTTTGGCATCTAGGGACACTGTAACCATTCATGCTTGAGACCGAGCTCTCTTGTTGGGCAGTATAGATAAGGAGTGGATATTCTGGAATACTGATGTCTTAGAGGGTACAGAGAAATTTAGCATTTCATGGGAGGCCCTAAGCTCTTCACAGGCAATGGAGGGAGAATCTGAGACCAAGACAGGAAAGACCAAAATGAAGAAAGGCAGAAAGAGAAATTCAGAGAGAAGAGGCAGAAGAGAAGCAGCAAAGGGGAGCTGGGGCCATGATTCAGGTGCCTGGCTTGGTGAGTGAGGTATAAACAGAGCGTTTATATGATGAAGAGGGTTAGGGTGGGGGTGCTGGAGTGAGTAGTCTGGCTGACTTGTCCTCTGAGTATCCCCAGAACAGCACAGGGACACAGGGAGGTGCTGGTGAGGAAAAGTCCCTCCCACCCCTGTCCTCTGCCTTCAGCTCCCAAGGTTGTCTTGAAGCAGACCAAGTTCACAGAGAAATATGAAGAACCCCTGGCAGGAGGCTCTTATTGGGGACAAAGTTCTTGAAGAGAGATGAAAAAGTCTACTCAGCTTGGGCCAGTGGGGGTATTCTCCACCCTACAGCGCTGACTATTCACTTTCTGCCTTTCTCAACTGGTGCCAGTTGCTGGAATGGAGTGAATTCATTCCTTGGACTCATTGATCTGGGCCATTAAAAACAGTGACCTGATTTGTCTGAAACCTCTCCCTTTGGATTCTGGGTGTACTGCCAGGCTGACTGAGCAGGCTGCAGAGGTAGCTTTCCTCATGGGCTGGGCATTTCTCCTTAATATCTTTGCATTTGGGTTCTAAGGGAGCATCATTTTAAGATTCAAGAGGGTTTCTTGCTGGCTTGAAGGGAAGGGACAAATAAATGGCCTTGTGTTTATTCTTTTTTTAGGGATGATCCATTGGATGAGAAGGCCCTCAGTGGCACAAACAGTTGGCACTCAACTACTGCTTCAACCTTCCCCTCGACCCCAGTGGTGTCACAGAACACAGGCCTGGTCTTCTGCTTCCATTAAGATTCAAATTCTTACTCCTAGTTACCCCATTGGGTTTCCAAGGCTGTCAATCTTTACGGAAGCAGACTGCTTCATCTTTCTTCCATGGGGCAATTGGTGGGCTCTAACCACCAAGCTTTTGGTTAGCAGCCAAATGCCTTAACCACTACACCACCAAGAAAATCCTGTGGAGCAGTTCTACTCTGCCACACATGGGGTTGCCATGAGTTGAAATCTACTTGATGGCTTTTTTTTTAGTTTTTCACTGAATCAGAGGGCTGCCTACATGGAGGTCATGTATACAAAGTGATGTTGCCTTAGGACCTGATTAACCTGGCCTGACAGACCTTTGATGTAAAGAACACAGGCTCATAGTGATGATGTAAACCAAGAAAGAGTCAACAACAACATAAATGTGCCTAAGGAATGGCCCTGCTGAAGGCAGGGAGTGAGTCAGCTAGATCAAGCCTGTCAGTAGGGCCACTGCAAGGAAAGACTGCTCCACCCGGTCTGGACACTTATCACCTTAGACAGGCATGGACTATCGCCACCATTTATTTATCTAACAAACACTTGTATGGCGCCACTATGTGTCACAAACACACGCTTAAGTGCTTTATAAATATTGGCTCATTAAATTTTTTGAAAAGTAAGTTATTGTGTTTTAGGTGAAAGTTTACTGGTGGCACAGTGGTTAAAGCATTTGGCTACTAAACAAAAGTCAGTGGTTTGAACCTACCAGCCGCTCTGCAGAAGAAAGATGAGGCAGTCTGTTTCTGTAAAAAATTTATAGAGTTCGAAACCCTATGGTTGATTCTACTCTGTCCTGTAGGTTCACTGTGTGTTGGAATTGACTCAATGGCAAAAGGCTTTTTGGTTTTACATAGCAAATTATGTTCTCATTTGACAATTCTTAAATCAATTGTTCTATCATATTGCTGGGAGCTCTGGTAGCATAGCGGCTAAGGCACTTGACTGCTAACCAGAAAGCTGGCGGTTCAAACCCACCAGCCACTCCTCGGAAGGAAGGTTGGGCGATCTTCTACTTCTGTAGTGATACCGCCTCGGAAACCCAAGGAAGGGTCGCTATGAATCAGGTCTGACTCGACAGCAAATAACAACAACAATAATCACATTGGTTACATTTTTCACAATGTATCAACATTCTCATTATTTCCATTCTGTTTGCTCTCTTTCCATAATCTAGCTTCCCTGTCCCTCAGTTTCTCATCTTTGTCTTAGGGTAAATGTTGACCATTTGGTCTCATATATTTGATTATTTAAGGGAGCACAGTGTTCATGGGTGGTTGGCTCATTGAATTTTCATAAATATTCTATGAAATGGGGCCTTTTATTACTGCATTTTACAGAGAAGGAAACTGAGGCACAGAAAGTCAAGGAACTTGCCCAAGAGCACATCACTAGAACACGTTTTGGTTAGCAGTCAAACCAGAAAGCAGCAGAACCAGAATTCCAGCTCCAAGCCGTTTGGTTCCAGAGTCCAGGTGCTTAACCTTTCAGCTAACCCATTCTTCATTATAAATGCTAATCCCCTTAATTGAAACTAGTAACTAAACCCAAATCCCTCATATTCACCTTCAGTGAAAGCTTAAATTAAGATTCTATACTTGTGTCAACACACAACCAGAACCAGCTCCAAGTCTAAAAACCCTGACATATTTCTCAACCCTGAATGTCATTTTAAATTTAACCCTACCCCTTACCCAAAAGTCAATACAGAATTCTTACATACCAAAAACTATAACTCAAACCCAAATCTTAAGTATAGCTCTTAATCTAAAAACCTAACTAACCCCAAGCCTGGTTCAAATTAGGTTTGTTTCCTCATTGATTCAAATTCTGATGCTAATTTTAACTCTGATTCTGATCTTGACATTCTCTATAACCCACAGCCTGACCCCTAGACCCAGCATTAGCCAAATCCAAACCTCAGGAACCTCAAATGGAAACAAAGACTCTGTTATCGCCCTTAAAGCCTAGGGTGGAAGGAGATGGTCCCCAGGGTAGCTGTCGCCTTGGCTTGTACCCTCTGCTTCCCTGGGCTGTCCTTGCTGTTGTGGGCATGTGGGGCTGACTCCGTCTTAGTAGAGATGGTCAGGAACTTGTTTTTTCAGGAATGGTAGTGGGTTCATACTATTCCTTTCAAAATTTTCTTGACTTATGCCCCCTATGACCAAAAGTTTGCTTCTGCAAACCATTTGGCTCAAGTCAGGGATGTGGTCTGTGGTTACATAACAGAATCTTTTCCAAAGCCCAGTTCTCACCCACACCCGCCTCCTTCCCCGCCCTGAGAACAAACTAATCCAAATGCATTCCAAACACTGGAAGGAAGAGAAAGATGTGACACAGGGGAAAAGAGAGTGCAGAGGAGACAGGATGAAAGGGAGGAAAAACAAAGATGCTGAAAACATAAAAGGGACAAGGTGGGATGAGAAGAAGGGGTGGGGGAGTGGAGAGAGGCCGGGACAGCACAGCACTGGGACTCACTTTCATCTACATGACAGGTGCACAGTCCAGCCCACAGACCTCTTTCTTTGGCTTGCTTGGAATTTTTAAATATTGGGAAATTTCATGTGAAAATTAAGGCTTCTCTTGGAAAACTGGAGACTTTGGCAACACTGAGCCTGCATCCCAGCATGGATACAGATGGAGTGGAGTGTTGTGTTGTGCTGTTGTTGTTGTTAGGTGCCATGAAACTCACAGTGACCCTGTTACAACAGAAATACTGCCCAGTCCCACCCCACCTCACAATCATTGCTACACCTGAGCCCATTGTTGCAGCCACTGTGTCAATTTATCTCATTAAGAGTCTTCCCCTTTTTCACTGACCCTCTCCTTTACCAGGAATGATACTCTTCTTCAGGGACTGGTCCTTTCTGACAGCATAATCAAAGTATGTGAGGCAAAGTCTGGCCATCCTTGCCTCTAAGAAGCATCCTGGCTATACGTTTTTCAAGACAGATTTGTCTTGAGTGGAGTAGTGGCTATCAGTTGTAGCCAGGGCATTCGCTCTCAAGTTTGCCAGAGTCCCACCTCTTCCTATTGTTTCTCTACTTGTTTACTTTACCTGCCTAGCCCCAATAGCCACTGGAGTTTGTGATCCTGTTTTATAGCAACCTATTGCTGTGGAGTCAATTCTGACTCATGGCAACTATGTGTGTCAGAGTAGAACTGTGCTCATAAAGTTTTCAATGGCTGATTTTTCTGAAGTAGATTACCAAGTCTTTCTTCCAAGGCACCCATGGTGCACTTAAAATGCAAATCTATCAGTTAGCAGCCAAGATCAGTTTGTGCCAACCAGGGACACTTATTCTATATTAACCTGTGTCATCGAATCAATTCCGAATCTGCAACCCTACAGGACAGAATAGAACTGCATTAAAAGGTTTCCAAGCCTGTAATCTTTATGGAAAGGAGCCCTGGTGGCTCAGTGTTTAAAGCATTGGGCTGCTAACCAAAAGCTTGATAATTTGAAGCCACCAACTACTCTGTAGGACAAAGATGAGGCACAGTGCTTCTGTAAAGATTTATAGCTTTGGAAACTCTATGGGGCAGTTCTACTCTGTCCTATAGGGCTGCCAGGAGTCAGAATTGACTTGATGGCAGTAGGTTTGGTTTTTTCAGGAATCTTTATGACAGCCAACTGACACATCTTTCTCCCATGGAGCAGTTGGTGGATTCAAACTGCTGACACATTGGTTAGCAGCCAAGTGCTTAACCACATACCGCCAGGGTTCCCTGTTTTATATTAAGAGCTCTGAAATATTTGGTTGAAGGTGGGTTGTGGGGAGGAGGCTTATGTTATACATGGGTGGCTGTGGGTGTTCCTGACACGTGGGGCCTTTGCCCCATCAGTGAAGGCTCCTGTACAAGGCACCTTTTTGAGAACAGGATCTCCATAGAGCTGAGACTGTGACCTTTACTGCCCATAGGAAGAAAGGAATCGTGTGCATCTCGCTGTAATGAGAAGTTTGACCGAGATGCTGCCTGCCAGTGTGACCGCCGATGTCCTCGGCATGGGGACTGCTGTGAAGACTATGAGAACCTGTGTATTGGTGAGAATCCTTGTGGGATGAAGGGTCTGGGAGGTGCATCCAGCCTGCCTGAAATGCCACGGGCTTGGGTGTCTAAGCTGGCCAGAAGAGGGTTCAGGACTGATGGGAGTGGGCTCTCAGGGCACAGAAGGAGCCCACTGAGGGGCAGAGGCCACGATCAGGAATTTGGCCACCACTTCTCCCAGATTTTCTAAGATGTCTCCAATTTAAAGCCCTGACTTAAATTACAATAGAAGGAGTATCTGTCTGAACTACTGGGATTAACAAAATCTTGAAAGTTTAAGTAATTCCCCAAGAACAAAATGCTAAAAATGTATTTTAGCATGTATTAGATTACCAATTGTTATTCAACACTATAAATCACAAAAATAAAATGGCAGGGAACGTTTGCAATTTATGTGCCGCTAGGAACACTGCCATGGCGCATAGTGACTGTCATGGCTCACACTGCTCTTCTTATATTGACTGGACCAAATGACTGAACATCTCCAGTCATTCATTCCCAGCCCAGTGATTAAAATGAAACATGCACCACCCTCGAAAGGTCATTGTTCTTCAACTATTCCAAAGGCATGACTTTAAAATAGATCATTTTAAAAAAACAATTTTTGAATAATCCCTTTGTTTGGATGCCTCCAATGTTTTAGACTCCCAGAAAAATCATCTTCTTCTGCCCTGTGACACAAAGCCTTGCTCAGTTTACTGACAAAACATGTGCCCTGACTCCTTGTTTGGAAAACATGGTCACTAAAGCCATGGTTGGGAATGACCAGCAAGATAACCTCATATGGTTGTGCAGGTTGTACACTGCACAAGGGTACCTGCCAAGGAGGCAGTTGATATCCAGCCCTTTCTCACCAAGCCATGTGCCCTGGTTCAGAGCTGTGCCTGCTGAGAGAAAATGGTACCTTTCCCTCGTTTGTCCAAAGATGCAGGCTGCTGACTCAGCTCTGTGCCCACATACTTCCATTGAAAGGGAACATTTCTCTAATTTACACAAAAGTACTGTATATGCTAGCAGAGGTGTGGCTCACCCGGCCCAGACAGGGAGGGCAGGCCCAGAGCTCAGTACCTAGAATCAGAGCCTACTACTCTTCCACTGCTCCTGTCCTCCTACTTTTTCTTAACCATTCAGCAGACTAAGGAAGGCCTGTTCACCTTGGGCCATCAGGTTGACATTTAAAGATAGAGAAAATACCTAGCTTAGGTGCCATTTCATCTTTTAAGTCTTTGATTTGCAACTCAGGACCCTTTTTCTGTAGAAAAAAATAAATGATGGTTGAAGTTCCAGATCAGCTCACAAAAGTCTATTTAGCACAATGTATGGTTGAACTGAGAACGCTTTGGCTTCCCAGCACTTAACTGCAGTTGTTTGTTGACTGAGTGAAGAACCTTCTCCATGGTTTGAATAGTAATACCCCAGTGCTTGTTAGCTGCTATGGAGTCAGCTCCCAACTCCCGGCAATCCCATGCATGGGATCAGACCATTGTGATCCATAGAGCTTTCATTGGTTAATTTTTGGAAGTAGATTGACAGGCTTTTCTTCCTAGTCTTTCTTAGTCTGGAAGCTCCACTGAAACCTGTTCAGCATCACAGCAACACACAAGTCTCTGTATGAGGTGTGTTAGCTGGGAATTGAATCCAGGTTTCCCTCATGGAAGGCAAGAATTCTACCGCTAAACCACCAAGACTCCAATAACCTGATACCATCCAGCAAACACACTAATAGTTCTGAATCACTTTGTAACAGTGTCATTCTTTGGGGGAAATTATTCCACTGTGTACTGTAGGGTTGCTATGAGTCAGAATTGACCCGATGGTAGTGGGTTTGATATTTTGGTTTGATGGGATGAGAGAGGAGCTCAGAATCCCCAGGAACATTTCCTGCCTCATTAATTCCCCCACCCCGCCCCACCCCTTCTCCATCCAGAGCCAAGGTTGCAGCCACTCAGACTGCAGGCTCAGGAAATGGAGCAGCAAGAGGAATGTGATTTCTGAATATACCTTTGCCCCAAACAGTCTTTGTGGCTACTGTCAAGTGGGGCAAAGAAAGGAGGGAAGTTGGCATCTCAATAGATTGTTCTTATTCCTACAGGCTCAGGGAGGAGATCTCTCTTGACTCTGATTAGGAGTCCTTATAGGTACAGGATGTTCCTAAATGAGGGAGGGAAATTTAGGGAGTGTCAAGACTCTCTCTGACTTTTAGTTAAAGAATACCAATTGCTGTTGGGTCAGACTACTTGTAACCCCATGTGTTTCAGAGTGGAATTGTACATAAGGTTTTCAATGGCTGTGACCTCATGGAAGTAAATTACCAGGTCTTTCTTCCAGGACACCTCTGGGTGGATTCAAACTGCCAAACTTTTGGTTAGTAGCCAAGTGCTTAACTGTTTGCATCATTGAGGGATGCCTAGTTAAAGAATCAAAACTCGAAACTCACTACCATTGAGTCAATTCCAACTTATAACTACCCTCACTGGGTTTCCAAGACTGTAAATCATTACAGAAGTTTCCAAGGAGCAGCTGGTGGGTTTGAACCACCAGTCCTTTGGTTAGCAGCCAAATGTCTTAACTATGAAGCCACCAGAGCTCCTTAGTTAAAGAATAAACCAAACTTGCATAGCAACTCCTCCTTGGGTTTCCTAGGCAGAATCTCTATGGAAGTAGATTGCCCAACCTTCTTTTGAGGAGTGGCTAGTGGATTTGAACCACCAGCCTTCTGGTTAGCAGTCAAATGCCTTAGTCATTACACCACCAGAGCTCCCAGGTAAAGAATAATCCAAATGTAATGCTCTGCCTTTGAGTTGGATCCAATTCATAGCAACCCCTTCTTGGGTTTCCAAGGTAACACTACGGAAATTATTTTTGAAAAATAATTCAAAAGTGGTTGCAGTAGTATATTGACAGAGAACTTCCAGAGGTACAAGCTGGATTCAGAAGAGGATGTGGAACAAGGGATATCATAGCTGCTGTCAGATGGATCTTGCCTCAAGGCAAAGAATACCAGAAAGATGTTTACTTGTGCTTTATTGACTATGCAAAGGCATTTGATTGTGTGGATCATGACAAATTATGGATAACATTGAGAAGAATGAGAATTCCTGAGCACTTGATTGTACTCATGAGGAACCTGTACCTTGACCAGGAGGCTGTTGTTCGAACGGAACAAGGGGACACTGCATGGTTTAAAATCAAGAAGGGAGTGCGTCAGGGTTGTATCCTTTCCCCATATTTATTCAATCTATATGCTGAGCAAATAATCCGAGAAGCTGCACTATATGAAGAAAAACGTGGCATCAGGATTGAAGGAAGAATCATTAGCAACCTGAGATACGCTGATGATACAACTTTGCTCGCTGAAAGTGGGGATGACTTGAGGCACTTACTGATGAAGATTGAGGAACACAGTCTGCAGTATGGATTACATCTCAATATAAAGAAGACAATGATACTCATAACTGGACCAATAAGCAGCATCATAATAAATGGAGAAAAGATTGAGGTTGTCAAAGAATTCATGTTGCTTGGTTCTACAGTCTAGGCCAATGGAAGCAGCAGTCAGGACATTAGACGATGTGTAGCACTGGGCAGATCAGCTGTGAAGGAACTCTTTCAAGTGCTGAGGAGCAAGGATGTCTCCTTGAGGACTAAGGTGCACCTGACACAGGCCATGGTATTTACAATCACCTCACATGCATGTGAGAGCTGGACAATGAATAAGGAAGACCAAAGAAGAGTTGATGCTTTTGAGTTGCGGTGCTGGCGAAGAATGCTGAAGGTACCATGGTCTGCCAAAAGAACTAACAGATCTGTCCTGGAGGAAGTGCAGCTGAGATGCTCTTTGGAAGCGAGGATGGCCAGACTTCGTCTCACCTACTTTGGTCATGTTGTCAGAGGGGACCATTCTCCAGGGGACCTGGAGAAGGTTGTCATGCTTGGTAAGGTGGAGGGTCGATGAAAGAGGGGAAGGCCTTTGACGAGATGGATTGACACAGTGGCTGCGATGATGGGCTAAGTATAGCGGGGATCATGGAGCTGGCGTGGGATAGGGCAGTGCTTCGTTCTGCTGTGTATGGGTTTGCTATGAGTTGGAAATGACTCAATGGCACCTAACAACAACAGCAACAACAACAACAACACTACAGAAGTAGATTGCCCAACCTTCCTTCTGAGGAGTGGCTGGTGGGTTAAAGAATAGTGGTAACCAAAACCAGAGTTTTCAATCCAGAAGAGACACCCCCCCACCCTCAGACACACACACACATACACACACACACACACACCCAAGAAACCCAAGAAGGGGTTGCTATGAATTGGATCTGACTCAAAGACAGAGCATTGCATTTGGATTATTCTTTAACTGGGAGCTCTGGTGGTGTAATGACTAAGGCATTTGACTGCTAACCAGAAGGCTGGTGGTTCAAACCCACTAGCCACTCCTCAACACACATCAGAACATTTGAGCATCAGAGTGGTAAAATGGTCTGATTTGCCACCTGGCAAAATTCTTTACATTTTTTATAATAGTTTTCAATCATTTGTCCTCTTTTGTCTTCCGTTTTCAGCTTTCATCCTCCTTTACCTGGTACTAGTTCACTGTACCCTAGCTCTTGCTTTTATTTACTTCCAAAATACATGCCTGTCCCTGACCTTGGGGTGCTAAGAAAAAGAAAACGAACCTGAGAAAAGGAGGAGGAGAAACTTTGAGGCAGGTTAGTGACTCTATTTTTCTGACCTACAGCTGAGGAGGACCCCAAGGAATTGAAGACGTTCCTGGAGCTGGAGGAGGAGACTGAGGAGGCACCAGCTAGCAGTGAGTTTACCATCCCAAAGTGGGGGAAGGGGGGGCACTTCAGGATAAAGGAGGAGGGGCATGAGGGGCTGACAAAGAGGGAACAGACATAGCAGTAGCAACAGGTCCACCTAAGCCAGATGGACCCTAAAACCAGAGCTGGGAGGTGGGGAGAAGGGCTCCCCAGCCTGAGGGTAGTCAGAGAACATCTGACCCTGGGGAGAGGCCAGGAGAGGAAGTGGAAGAGATTTTATTTTTAGAGTGAGGAGATTATAAAAACAACAGGCCTGAAAGTAAAGTTCGCCATCAGAAAGGACTTCCTGCCTGTGAAGGGTGTGCACGAACTAAGCTTGTTTGTTTTCCTTTCCCTGGAGATCTTTAGTAGGAAGAGTGACAAGAGCGAGGCTAAGGGAAGGACTGGCCAGGAGGGAGAGGGAGCCTTCTGGACATTGAGAGCAACCTCTAGAGGTTTGCCTGAACACCAGTTCCCTGTTCCCTCAGACCTGTACTCAGCACCCAGCTCCTGCCAGGGCCGCTGCCATGAAGCCGTTGACAAGCACCACCCATGCCACTGTGATGTCCGCTGCCAAGAGTTTGGAAACTGCTGTGAGGATTTTGAGACCCTGTGTGCCCATGGTCAGTCTTTGTTCCCTGTACATAGCCCCTGAGAGACAGAGGGGCTCACTAGAGCAGTAGTTCTCAAAGTGTAGTCTCTGGGCTAATAATACCAGGTTACTTGAGAATTAACTAGGAGTACAAACTCTAGGGTTTCACCCTAGACCTATAGAGTCAGAAACTCTAGGGTGGGGATCAGCAATCTGTTTTTAACAAGCCATCTAGGAGATTCTGATGAATGCCAAAGTTTGAGAATCTTCCTAGAGGGAAGGGGCAGTGAGGACAATATGTGAACATGCTATGGCAATGCCATGTAGTGTTTTAAAGGGTCCTTTAGACCCTAGTGCCCTGCCTTCCAACCCCAGAATGTCTGACCATGACCCCTTTCCTATATGACCCTGTCCTTGCTGCCAGCTTCTAGAAGATGCCCAGGAGGGGATGCACATAGAAAATTGCCCTCCAGCTGAGACCACTCTTTCCCCAATTCCTCCCAGAGGGCTTCTCCCACAGCAGTGATGCCATAACCAACGAGGAGATTCAGAGCATCTCTGAGAAGATCTACAAGGCAGACACCAATAAGGCCCAGAAGGCAGACATTGTTCTCAATAGCCAAAACCGCATCCCTCCTTCTGAGTCCGGAAACCAAGTGGATTGCTGCCCAGAGCCGTGAGTTCCTCTCATTCCTCTTCCTGCTCCCCTCAAAGTCTCTCTTCTCATCCTTGATTTTTTAATGCCTCATTTTTTGTCTTTTCAAATTAGATAGAATCAAAGAAATAGAAAAAAAATAATATAGGCCCCAGAGACAAATAAAATCATCTTGAGGGATTGAGGGTATACAGTTGGAAGGGTTCTGCGATTGACCAGGCTGAAGATAGAAGTGACCTTCTAAGGGATGAAATAGAAGAGTGACCTCATGAATAGCCATTAAGAGTATCTAAAGTCCCCAACTTTGCTCCTGAACCCAACCCTGGCCCATTTAGAAGTTCTTGGAGGGGTTTCTGTTTCATATTTCAGGCCTGAGAGTGAGTCTCCCTATACCTCCCCCAGGCTCTTCACCTATGTCAGTGAGAAGCTGTTTTCCAAACCAACCTATGCTGCCTTTATCAACCTCCTCAACAACTACCAGCGGGAGACAGGCCATGGGGAGCACTTCAGTGCCCAGCAGCTGGCTGAGCAGGATGCCTTCCTCAAGGAGATCATGAAGACTGCTGTCATGGAGGAACTCTATGACTTCCTCCATCACCAGAGTGAGTGAGCTATCCTAGGTGCCATGAGGCAGTGCCGAAGGCTCAGGTCTGCTGCAGGAGAGCCAGGCAACGCTGGGGTCTCCATGGTTTGTAGAAGGTGGGGAAACAGTTGGGACTACATGGAGGCCATTGTACATCCAGAAGGGATCAGGGAGGAGATCAGAGAGGAGCCCAGAAGAAGTTAAGGACCCAAACAGGAGCTGAGGGATCCAGCACCTAGCTTGGAAACCATTCCATCTTTTGACATGATCTTAGCTACTCCATCTAACCCCTTCCTATTAGTGCACCCCTGATTCAGTCTCAGGGTCCCCCCCCCAGAGTCCTGAGCCATTCCTGCCCCCACTCTACTTCTCTGCCCCCTCACTGATCCCATTGTCAGCACCACTTCAGGCAGGTAGAGTCTCTGATTCTACTCCCTTCTCCTGCTCTAAGTCCAGGAAGGTAGTTGGCTGACACCACAGTTTTGCTAGGGAAACAGCAACAGAAAATCAACAAAGGTTCAGAGAGGGAAGTTCTACCGGTAAGAGTTCTGGTTGGAGCAACTCCAGATACATTCAAATCAGACCAAAAAAGGTTTTGGCTGCCAGACTTCTTGGCATTGGATAGTGTTTGTTAGTGTCCTCTGGATTCCTTTCCCGAACTCCAGGCAGCTGGGCTCTGTCTCGGGGCGGCACTCTCCAGGCCTTCCATCGCTGTGGGATCGCCTCTGCTGGAGCTGCTGCAGGCCTCCCTGAGGGTCTGTAACAACCTCCTGTTTATAAGTGAGGCAAGGAACATCAGGAATCCCTATGAAGAGGATGAAAGCCTGTACTGCCCCCTGGTGTCCTCTTTGGAATAAAACCAGGAAAGAATCTCGGCGGTCGAGAGAGAGCCCTTCACTGTTTTCTCTTTGCTTTAGTGTGTGCCGCTTTTTTATTTCTTACAAAAAATATAGTTTTTAAAATTGCGAAATATATATAATACAATGTTAGCCAATTCAACATTTTTCAGGTATACGATTTCGTGATATCAATTATATTCATCATGTTGTGGCAACTACCATCCATAATTGTTGCCAAATATCCCATCACAGTAAACAAACACTCACTGTTTCCTAAACAATGGCTCCCACTTTCCCCCCTCCCTCTCGCCCCTGGTAACCACTAATATAATTTGGACTGTATACATACCCCTTTATTTTTCAAATGACAAAAATGGAGACAGGTTAAATGATTTGTCTGAGGCCATAAAGGAGGTTGGGAAGCAGTCCTGGGGCTGGAACCTGGGGTTTTCACACCAATGTCTGGCCATTCCTTTTCTGCACCCTCTTCTTGCCCCTCTCCTTGCTCAAATACCACTTAGTTCACATCCTACCACATTTATGAAAGATGACTCCTTATCCTAGCTCACAGCTGTCTTTCTGTAGGCTGAGAGTTTGGGGTATGGCCTTGGGCCAAGGAGACCTGGTTTGACTCCTGGCTCTCCCTCCTGTTATTACTGTGACCCTGGACAAGTGATTTTACCTTTTCTGAATCTTATCTGTGAAATGGTGTTTTTTTTTTTTTTTTTTTAGAATTAATGCATGTAAAGTACCCAGTAGAAAGCCTAGCAGTAAGTGGTAACTATTCACTTTGTGAAATCATTCTCCATTATGTCATGTATATGTAGGCTTATTTTTCAATCATATTTTAAGTTTTTGAAAGGAGGGAGTATGTCTGGTATTTCTTTTGTATCCTGCACACATAATTCTGAACCAAACCAAATCAGTTGCCATGGAGTTGATTCCAGCTCATGGTGACCTCATGTGTGTCAGAGTAGAACCGGCTCCATAGAGTTTTCAGTGGCTGACTTTTTAGAAGTAGATGGCTAGGCTTTTCCAGGTACCTCTGGGTGGACTCAAACCATCAACCTTTCAGTCAGCAGTCAAGCACATAAGCCATTTGCACCACCCATGCACTCCCAATTCTGGACAATTGACAGTCATTATTTGATGGCTCCCTATAAAATGGTGGTGTTAGACCCAGCCTAACTTCAGGGGGGATAGTGTGAATCACCATCAGTATGAGGCTGATTCCTATGAAGTGAAAGTCAGACACACCTCAACTCTCCAACCTTTTTACCAATTCTGACACCAGCTGTCCTTCCCACAGCACTCTTTACTTCTCTGCTGGTTTGTTAATCCATTGCAATGGCCACACAGAAGTCACAAACTATATTTACAATTAAGTGGTTTATTACGGAAGTAACAGGGTGCAACCCAGGATAGGATCAGGAAGCATGTAGACAAAATCTCCCTCCTTCGATGCAGGACAGCTCTCTTAGCTTCTATCAGCTGTGCAGGCTTCCTCTCAGCCCCTTGAGGATAGTCTCCTCTCAGCTCTGCCATCTTATCACTGACTCTGCTGCTGTTACACTTTCTTCTGTGTAATAGCCCTTGACTTTGTGTTATAGTTTTTTTAGGAGGTTTCTTACCTCTCTCTCTCTCTCTCTCTCTCTGCTTCTTCTGTTTTCTTTCTTCCTTCTGCTTCTTTCTGTATGAAAAACATCTGAGGGATTGGCTTCTTATAGACACAACTCCTTGCCAATTTCAAGGCATGGTCCCTCCCAGCAGTGGCCATGAATTGACCAATCCCTTCTTCGTAAGCCACAGACACTTCATTTGCATAATCTATTGGCCAATCCCTGCAAGATGCATACCAATCACAGGGCAGGCTGCAGCCCAGGACCAGACAAAAAGCATTAAATTGAGTTGTTTACAACTTACCAAGAAAAGGTCAACCAGCACTGACAAAAGTAATAAACCCTCTGGGGTACAAAATTAGGGAAAAGGTAACTCCTAAGAATTTAGGAAAAAACATCCTTCAAACTGTTTTTTCCAAAGAACCAAGGCAAAAGGCCACATAAAGAAACCCATTTCACCACACTCTCAAATTTAAATTTATAGCCCTGACCTTTCCCTTGAGTCCCAGCTGCCTTTTTTTCATCTGCACTTAGGTATATAGTCAGCATCCACATAGAACTTGTTCTTGTTGTTATGCGCCGTCGAGTTGGACCTGACTCATAGCGACCCCTCTTTGGGTTTCCAAGGCAGTATCACCGTGGAAGTGATTGCCCAACCTTCCTTCCGAGACCTCGAATTTAGTAGAAAGAAAACTCATGATTCTCATTCCTTCTTTCAGATCTTTTCCTCCCTCAGTTTTTCCCATTTCATAAATGGTACCACAATCCATTCCCTCGAGAAGGATATCATGCTTGGTATAATAGAGGGTGAAAAAAAGGAAGAAATTCAAAGAGATGGATTGACACAGTGGCTGCAACGATGTGCTCAAATATAACAAGGATTGTGAGGATACTGCACGACTGGGCAGTGTTTTGTTCTGTTATACATAGCATTGCTATGAGTCAGAGCCAACTTGATCCATCCAGGTACACAGGCCCAAAACCAGGAGTTCGATTTGATTCTTTTCTTTACCTTGCTGCCTTATTCCTACCTCCTCCATCAGTAATTTCTATCACTTCCACCTTCAAAATATTACCCCTGATTGTCCACCTTCCCATTCCTCCACCATAGTCTAAGCCTTCACCACTTCTTACTTGGACAAAGCATTAGCCTCAAAACTTATCTCTCTTCTCACTCATACCTCTCCATTGGCCTTTGTACATACACAATCAGAGTGATCCTTTAAAAAAAAAAGCTTGTTTTCATATAAGTTCCCTGCTTTAAACTCTTCAGTGGCTCTTCACCACTGAGAAACTATCCAGGTTGTCCCCAATTTATGACGTACTCAAGTTATGGTGAACTGCACTTATGTCTGTCCATTTTGTTGTTGTTGTTGTACAGCTTATCGTAATATTTATACATACAATATTGGCACATGTATTTCGCTGATGTTATGATTCTCAGATGTAATGTTTCCAACCCCAAAGACAAGTAAAGATTAGATTTATAAAGATACTGAAAATAAAAGACAATAATAATGATAACTGAAACAATATGAGGTATTCAACTTACATCAGAACTGACTTACAATGCAGTAGTTGTCAGAACAGAACCCAGTGGTAAGTTGGGGACAGTCTGTAGAGTGTATAAGAGATTGGATTTTGGAGCCAGACTGTATGGGCTCAAGTGTTTTCACCAACTCTTATTAACTGCGAGATCTTGGGTGAGTTAAATAACCTTTGTCTAACTTTCCTCATTTCTAAATTGAGGATAATTAATACTAACTTTATGTGAATATTCTTTGTGAGGTTTCAGTAAGTTATTACATCAAAAGCACTTAAAACAGTGGCTTATGCATAGAAAGTGCTCAGTGAATCTATTTTAATTATTACTCTCAAATTGGGATCTAACGTTCTTGCTGTAGTTTGTAGAAATGGCCTCTGTTTACCTCTTGGACCTCCTTTTCTACCACCCTCCCCTTCTGCTTACTATGCTCTAGTTAAATTCAACTTCTTTCAGTTCTTTGAACACCAAACTCATTCCTGCCTCAAAGCCCTCAAAGCCTTTGTGCTCACTATTCCCTGTACATGGAACCTTCCCCCAGATCTTTGCCTGGCTGACTCCTTATCATTTAGGTCTCTTCCTTCTCAGAGAGGACTTTCTGATCTTCTTCTCCAGTAGAGTCCCCATCATTATGGGCTACTCTGCTTTATTTTCTTCATAGCACTTATCTGATATCATATTATTTATTCATTGGTCATTTATTTATCTGTCTTCTCCACTGGAATATAAACTATAAGAACAGGAACTTTGTCCTTGTTATCCCATGCTGAATCCCCAACCTTTCGATCTGGACGTGGCACAAAATAGGTGCCCTATAGGTCATTTTTGAATGAACAAACTGAATACATTTGTTGATTGAACTCATGTTTCTCTTGATATACTGGAGCAGATAGCTTTTTCTTGCTTCCTAGGACCTGGCCCAGTTCTCCCTTCTCCTAAGTCCTCTGTGTTCCTCTCCCCAGATCGGTACAGCACAGAGCAAGAGTTTGTCAATGACTTGAAGAACATGTGGTTTGGACTCTATTCAAGAGGCAATGAAGAGAGAGATTCAAGTGGCTTTGAACACGTCTTCTCAGGTAGGATCACTCTGCTTGGAAGGAAAGAGTTGGAGGTAGAGGGATGAACAGTAACCACTTCAGCCAGGAGCAGGGCAGCATTGGGAAGTGATGTATCAACAGCCCAGCCAGCTAGCAGAGAGGGACACTTCCACTCCTAAGCTAAGAAGGAGGGGTGTGAGCAGCCATTATGAGGAACAACGTCTTCTGGAATACATAAGGGAAAAGAAGACCAGATGTTGTTCTAGAGCTCCCATAGAATCTATCTAGGATGGGAGAAGTTTCAGGGGCAAGGCTGTCTGCCTCTGAATAGTCCTCTACCTTCAGCACTTGGTAAACTGCTTTCCTACAGGTCCATGGTCTTTCTCCCCATTGCCCTACCCCTTAAAGTCTGGCTGGCTCCTAGAGAAATGGCTGAGAGGAATATTCCAATGTGGTCACCATGGTCAGCTGAGAGGAGAAATTCTCCTAAGGGCGTGAGATGAAAAGGGGGTCTTCTTGAGGTGAAAGATGTGAATGGGAGGGACATGGAGAGTCAGAGGTGAGACCTCTCTACCTGTGAAGGATAGGTAGGCATTTTAGGAGTTAGAGTCTTAGAGAAGGGAGACAGTATTGGTGTGGAGTGGGAGGAATTAGACATAAGTGTAGGGAAGGAAGCCCCAATCACCCATTTTGGCTTATTTGATTGTTATAGGAGAAATCAAAAAAGGCAAGGTCACTGGCTTCCACAACTGGATTCGCTTCTACCTGCAAGAGAAGGAGGGCCTGGTTGACTACTACAGTCACATCTATGATGGGCCTGTGAGTGCCGAGCCCTGACCCCTTAGTCTGGGAAAGCCTTGTTAGTGCCCAGACTTTCTGCTTTCTTTCTGTGTTCCAAACAGTAATAGAACTGACAACTGCAGCTTGTCTCTCACCCAGATCTCATCAGTAGCCTAATCTGACTTCCCCATCTCTGGAGATGGGGCTTACCCAACCAGGACTCCAGGATTCCCTTCCAAACAGTGAAGGCTGAAGTACTTCAGGGACAGGAGGCAGAGGGCAGCATTTCTGGGTGGGAAGGCAGGGACAGGGGCGGACTTTCGAGGGAAGAACCAAAGACTCATAGTTACTTGTGCCTGGATTTCCTTAGGAAGGTCAGTGGCTTTGAACACGTCCAGAAACTTCAGCCTGGCTACTCTGAGTTAAACTCCACAAAGTTTATAAAAAATAAACCTTTGCTGCTCTGTGTCAGGAAGTATGTTGGGAGCAAGAAATTGTCCATCCCTTCCAAATGTGAGGTGCTGACCTGGGATTGGATGTATGGATTCAGGCTTTGGCCTCCCTGGTGGATGTGTATTGGGAGCTCCAGGCACAGGGTCCACTGAATGGGGCTCTTTTTAAAGAATCCAATTACCCCAGAAAGCCCATGCAGGCTTCCAATGCTCAACAAACAGCAGCTGGCTGTTGCATGTGGCATCCTTGCGACTCCACTCTGTGGGAGTCACCAGACCCCCTCACTGCCCTTCTCTCCACAGTGGGACTCCTACCCTGATGTATTGGCGATGCAGTTCAACTGGGATGGCTACTATAAGGAAGTGGGCTCTGCTTTCATCGGCAGCAGCCCGGAGTTTGAGTTTGCACTCTACTCCCTGTGCTTCATTGCCAGGCCAGGCAAAAGGTGAGTACTGGGCCATGTGGGCCTGGAGGGCTGGCTGCAGGCTGTCCTTGGCTAGGGGAGGAGATTCTAGAGACTTGGATTCTGCCACTAAATAGCTGTGTGGGCTTGGACAAATCACCTTTCTGGGCCTCGGTTTTCTCACTTAGAAAAAGAAGTTGTTGGATTTAGATCGGTGGCTGCCAAACTTCTTCATCTTAGCAGTAGAATCACCATCCCCATTTCTCACCAAGTAATAGCTCCTGTAGGATCCTACTATATAAACCAGACAGAAATGGAATTGGGCTTCCAAGGATCATCTATTTGGTCCTCAAAGCTGCTTGTGGAGCCCTGGAGCCCCAGAGAAAACTATTTGGAAACCACTGGACCTCATGTTCTGGAAGCCCCTTCCAGGTTTAACATTCAGAGTGTCTGGGACCTCTGTAACACTAGGCTGTTGTTGTTATGTGCCGTTGAGTTGGACCCGACTCATAGCGACCCCTCCTCGGGTTTCTGAGGCAGTATCACTATGGAAGTAGATTGCCCCATCTTCCTTCCGAGGAGTGGCTGGTGGGTTTGAACCACCAGCCTTCTGGTTAGCAGTCAAGTGCCTTAGGCACTACACTACCAGAACTCCCATAGGCAGACATTTAATTCTTCTTTTTTGTGGGGTGGGAGGTGGGGTTTCAACTCTAGAATCTGGAGTTTTAGGTTTCTAGAATACTGCTCTGGGAAAGATCAAGAGTGGTACTCTTTAAGAAGATAGAAAATGAGCCATAGATTTTGGAAGGGCTCTGTCTGTGGGGAGCTGCAGGCAGCAGCTGAGGAAAGCTGTGGCAGCTCTTTCTTCAAGACCTTTTAGGGGAGGGATGTTTACTGCTTGGGTTGTCCTTCTAGCCTGGGGACGGGGAAAGGTGAAGCAGAGAGCCCCTATGATTTGGTGAGCTTTTCCCACAGGTGCCAGGTAAGCCTAGGTGGATATCCTCTGGCCATCCAGACCTACACCTGGGACAAGACCACCTACGGACATGGCAAGAAGTACATCGCCACAGCCTATGTGGTGTCTTCCACTCAGTAGAACTCTGAGCCAGAAAGGGGCATGAGAGCAGTGAGGGCTCTTGCAGGCATGGGGAGCTATCTGCTCTGGGCTGGAGAGGGGAAGCAGGAGATTGAGTCACAGAGAGGGATTCCCTGATCCAGAAATGCCCATATGGGAAAGAAGGAAGAAACACAAATTAGAAGAATGCAGAGAAACAGTCAACTCTTTGTTCTTTAGCAATTTGGCAATAGAGACGAAGAACAGAGTCTAGATGGAGAAGGTTCCGGAGCCCTTTATAGCTCTCAGCCCTGATGTGTGATGGGATCATGAACACATTCTTTTCTCTCTCCAAGACTCATGCTTCCTTTTCATGTAAAGGGAAGAGAACTTCTCCCTTTCCTCCTCCTGAGGCTGGTGAGAAGGCAAACGTCGTACTTTTATTACTGTGAAGGTGTTTTGAAATGTTCTCAGGAAGAATAGCTGATAGAAATTCATGATGACTATAATGGCTGTTATTGTACACAGCTTACAAACTACAACTCACCCTGTGTGGGGGCCTCAAAGAACTCAGGCCATGAAAACCAGGCAGTGAGCATTTGGTCTTTTTTGGGGCTTAGACTTGAGAATAGGGTCTGGGGAAACTCTGATGTGGGACACAGAAGGAAAAAGGGCTCTTGTGAGTGTATGGGCTGGGAATGGTGGACTTCGCCAGGCCTGAGTGCTTTTGTGGCCAGCTCAATATTTGCATCCCACTCCTTCCTTGTGAGTGATTAGTGCAGTTAAAGAGCTAGGTTTTGATCCTGAATAATTTCTGAAAGAGTTCCCCTCATAGGAAGAAGATTTAGCGTCAGAAGAAGAAATGAACCTATTGCTTGGTATTATTAATACAATTGTTTAAAGGCTTATTCAGCTGCCATAATTTGCTTCAAATGGACTCTAGAATGGGAGACCTGGGAGACTGGGGCTCCTTATCTCAACCTTGATTAAGCATTTCCTCCCTGGCCCCATGGGGAACCATATGCTGTCCCAAAGAGCCAGGGTTGAACACAGGATTTAATTTGAGTCTCCAATTAAACTCATTTGAGAAAATTTGAAATGTGTCTCTTCCTTTGATCCCCACTGCCTGCAACTCTTCATATCCCTACCTTTTCCCTGGAGGTCTGGAATAGAGGTGAGAGTGGTGTTTGTGGCTTCGGGGTTTCTTCAGGATACCTTGGAGAATATGTATCTTGGTGAAGTCCCTGGTGACTTACCAAATCTCTCTATCCAAGAGGAAGAGAGAATTCTTCTTGGCGCATCTGTGATGTGAAAGGTAGAAGAAACATCACACATGGACTATGGGGACGGGGTAGTCAATGGAGACTGATGTCCCCCAACCCCCAAGAAACTGCCCCCTTGACCACATAGACAAGGACCATAAGGACTTTTCTGGGTGCAGCTACTGTGTTTGCAGAGATTGACCAAACTGAGGAAGAAGAGATGCTAAAGAGATGGAAGAAGAGTTCTCAAATCTGTAAACAGATGTTTGAGGCCTCAGATGCTAGGAAAAGACCAGGATTGAAGGGATTATGCCAAGAAGGTTGCAGAATGCAGATAGATGAAGCAAGGACTTGTCCTGCCCTTCCCCAGGGGAGCCCACAGTCAAATAAGCAAGACAGGGGTAAGCATAGTATAGGATATGTATGACATATCTTTAGACATCACAAAACAAATACCAGAGATAAAATTGTTTTTGAGGGGGTCCTGAAGAAGCCCCGGTGGTGCAAATAGCACTTGGCTACTAACAGAAATGACGGTTCAAACCCACCCAGTTGCCCTCAGTGCAGTCCAGTAGAGTATAGCCTATAAAACCTTATCGGGCAGTCCTCCTCTGCCATATAGGGTCACTATGAGTTGGAATCCACTGCACCTAATAACACAGAATATTCAAACCCACTAACCCACTGCTGTCCAGTCGTATGGGACTCATGGCGACCCCTTTTTGGGTTTCCGAGGCGGTAGCACTACGGAAGTAGATTGCCCAATCTTCCTTCTAAGGAGTGGCTGGTGGGTTTGAACCACGAGTCTTCTAGTTAGCAGTCAAATGTCTTAGGCACTGTGGCTACCAGAGCTCCCCAGAATATTCATGACTTTGTTATTTTGGACACTAGAACATGTCAGGATAACCTTGCAGTTTTTGAGTTACATCCCATGAAGATTAGTTATATTAGAAGGCGAGAAAAGCGTCAATTTCTTTTTTCAACACACTGGTCAAATCACTAAGTTTGTCTCACAGGTAAGGGTCATCGTATACGATTCTCTGCGCAAGCTCCAGCCCAGGCGCCAGGGGGCGGGGCGAGGGCACGAAGGGGATTGTGGGAAAGCCTAGGAAGGCGGGGCTCAGAGTGAGTCGCTGCTGGTCTGATTAGGTGGCGTTGCGGTGGACAACGGCCTGGTGAGGTGTGCAGCCTTTGCGGTTATCCCATGCTAGAGGAGCAGAGGAGACCTATGGGGTTGCCTAGGGGGAGGAAGGGGCGCAGTCGTGGGTCCCAGGTGGGGTGGAAAGGCTAGGGTGGGCGGTGTTGTGGGCGGCGCAGCGGTGTCCAGGGTAGCGGCGTCGCGGGGAGCGCGTTCCCGGAAGGGGTTCGCCCCGCGCGACCCAGGCGTGGGTGTTATGCTTTGCTGAGAGTCCCTGCTCCACCGTTGCAAATTGGGCAATTTGCGGTGGTCGGGAAGGTATAACCACGCTCAAGAGAAGACCATGGTGGAGCCCCGCCCCCTTTCGGTTTGAGTGTACACAGTTCGTCCGGATATTGGGTATGAAAGTGATACGCCTCAAGCGCTGGACGTTTCTAGTTACTTGCCCCAGCCCCATCGCAGGTTCAGCGGAAGCAGCTGGGCCTCCGGGAGCAGCAGAGGTGATGGGTGATACGGGAAAGGTTTCTCGGTCCCCTCTTCCCCTCCATCATCTCAGTGGCTTCTGTATTTATATTTTTAAGTCCCAAGCAAAGGATTGTACTAGTTTTGTTTTAAAATTGTATATGCATAAATGCTCGGAATCGACTCCAGCAGCAACATATATAATCAATCATAGATACTCCCGAAATAAAATTAAACCGCTTAGTTGTTGCAGCTAGGGATGAGAAGGCCTATCAGTATCCATCTCTTCTTCCTCACTGTCTCAGTGAGGCGTTTTTAACTGTCTTCAACTAATCTCTTCTCTTTCTCCCCTTCTCTTAACCTCTTCAGCTTTGTATCCTTTCCCATCTCTTTGAGAACCTTGCCCCATCACTCATCCTCTTCCTTATATCTTCTCCACAGCTGGCTTCTCACCCCCTTCCGGAGTCTATATTTGTGAGGGAGTCTTTTACATTATTAAAAACAAATTTAATCTCCACAAATCTCATTTGCTTAGGTCATTTTGTTTTCACTTTTTTTTTTTTAAATTCCGTTAAAACTTCCAGTAATCTTTATATATGCACTTTTCCCTAAATGACCTCTGAGGAACTCTGGTGGTGCAGAGGTTAAAGCATTTGGCGACCAACCAGAAGGTCAGCGGTTGAAATCTACCAGCTCCTTTGCAGGATAAGGATGAGGCAGTCTGCTTCAGAAAAGATTTACAGCCTTGGAAACCCAATGGGGCAGTTCTGTCAACTTAATGGAGTGGGTTTTATTATTTTTTTGATATATGACATCTGTGGTGTTGGACCCTGCTAACCTCTCCCACTTTGCTTGGACTCATTTTCTCTGATCTATCACAGTACTCCTTAGATTTTCCTTCTAAGACTCTAGACGCAAGTGTTGAGACTTCTTCTATATTGACATCTCTTCTTCTGTTCCCTAAATATTAGGGTTCTCCAGCCCTCCACCCCAATAGTCATCCTGATTGGGCATATCCAATTCCTATTCTAGCTACCACCTTTAATCTGGAGACACTCAAATTTGTATTTCTGGTCCTATATAGCTAGGAAGGTTGGGCAATCCTACTTCCGTAGTGATACTGCCTCGAAAACCCAAGGAGGGGTCGCTATGAGTCGGGGCCGACTCGATGGCACATAACAACAACAACAGCAACAACATATAGCTAACTGCCTACTGGCTATTTTTCCCTAATGTCCCATAATCACTCAAATTCACCATGTCCCAAACTGAAGTAATTGGTCCTTCCATTCGCTTTCCAACCCCGAAACCTCTTTTCCTTTTAAAATTTGTATTTCCTGACTCAGAACATAATTTATCTTCCCAGGCTCCCAAACAAGGACGTTGAGTCTATACCTGCTTCTCACTTCTTCAGTACAATCAGTCATCAAGTCCTTTTTATTTCATCACCGTAATACTGTCACATTGCTTTAAAAATATAGGCCAAACGTCATAGCCTGGCATTTCAATATCTGCCCCATATCCACGTCTTTTAGCCTTATTTTCCGTCATTCTCCCTCACAGTACCTCACTTTGTCTGTCTCCCTGTTAGTCATGGCTTGCTTCTGTTAAAGTGAACTACATTGACTTATGGGGACTCATTCCTTGGATGTAGCACCCATCTGACTTATGCCCATCCTTTGTGGTTAGTTCCATGCCATCTGTACATACAGTACTTCTGTGTATAGTCAGTGGTGATTTTGCCCCCCAGGGGGCATTTGTCACAATGTTAGTGACCTGGGTTGTCAGAATGAATTTTCCATCACAAAATGTGAATAGTATTGAGGTTGAGAAACTGCTTAGCATAGTATTTGTTATTCAAGATTCTGGTTATTTTATTTTGTTAAGGATCCTAATTGTTTTTGTATCCCTAACTCTTGATATGGGACCTGTTATGTAATAGAAGCCCAATAAATGTTGAAAGAAAAGAGTAAAGGAGATAATTGTTGTTATTGTTATGTGCCATCCAGTCGACAGGACTCATAGCGACCCCTCCTTGGGTTTCCAAGGCAGTATCACTACGGAAGTAGATTGCCCAACCTTCCTTCCGAGGAGTGGCTGGTGAATTTGAACCGCTAGCCTTCTGGTTAGCAGTCAGGTGCTTTAGGCACTATTTAGAATGTCCTTATTGGCTGATCTGCTACCCTGGGCTACTTGCTAGTGTCAGTGATTGCTTCCCCATTGC